TTTAAAGTGGACTTGGATAAGTATGTGGAAACTATCCAAAGTTCTGTTAATTTGAAAGCTATGAAAACAGTATCTTTATATTCGTCCTTTTTGTCTTCTTAAAATGTCATTTTATCGCCTTGTTTTTTTGTTGCTGTTACCCTGGCAACAAATCTGTGTGTATATTCTGTTGTTTATCTGTTTTTGTTTTTATCTTGTCTTTATTTATGATTTTGATAATTGTACTGCCTTAATGTTTGTATTGTTTAATAAAAAATAAAAAAACTACTGTCAGTAATGTTCCCGCTGGCAGATAAATGGATGCTGGAAGGAGTGAATGGAGATTCCTTCATTTTTGACTTGCTTTATTTGCTATTCGTTTATGCCAAATCCTTTGCTATTTATATATAGAATAATTATTATTATAAAATTAATATCAATTTTGCAATTATATAGCAATTCCTTTTTTTATGGTAAAGCATAAACTGTGTGTATTCAACCATGATCGACAACCAAAAAGCAAGATAAAGAAATCCCTCCTGTCTCCAGAGACTTTTTTTTTTAAAAAAAAAAAAAAAAAAAGAAAAAAAAAACGTTCCAAAGATCCGATCTGAATCAAATGATTCGCGATACGCGCTCTGAATCGAGCACTTCGAAACAGTGAGTCATATTTCAATGCAATGGTTTAACTGATTGTGAGTTTATAGAAAAGCTTCGTTTCACCCATCAACTACGTGCTTTTTAAAATAATTTCTTAAAAAAAAAAAAAAAACCGTTTAAAAACAAGGTGATAAACAAATATATCACTCAAAAATGAATAAGTAATACTTGAAACGAGTGTATTAATAATATAGCCTAGTTATATATTTTTTAAATTAAATCCAATATTTTGTTTTTACATAATATACAGTATGTATTTAAACCTAATCTTTTTTATTTATTAATCAAATAAATGTAATCAAATATAATTGAATATTATTCATTATTTATTGCTTTAAATTAGTATTTGTAATGTTATTCAAATTTAGTTAGAATGTGTAGTTTACCTTGCAAAACAAAAAAAGTTTAAAATAAGGTGATAAATATAACTCAAATTAATCATTTAAAATTTGGCGTTTTTTTTAAATTTTGGTCCAATTTTTTTTTTTTTTTTTTTACAAATTTATTATGTATTTAATTTTTTTTCTTACAATCAGTGCATTTTATTAATATATTATTTATTTATTTAAATTAGATTTGAATTATTTTTAGAATTATAATGAAAAGTTATAATAGCGTATAAAGCTTCAGTTAATGCAGTTAATATTTATAACTATGTAGCCTGCTGTGTGTGTTTTTCCAAGCGGTGCTGAGGAATGATTTCCCGTTGTCGTGTGTGTGTACTGTATATCAGTTCTGTAGTGTATGGCTCCCGATATGCCTCTGTATCTCCACTGCTAAAGGTCTTTACACTGAAACACTTAGTGCTTCAGATAAGACGTCCGGTTTAAACAGATTTATTGACACATGAGAGAACGTTTGCTTAAGTGAGCATCTGCAGGTTTATTCACATTACACACAGACAAACAAACAAACAAACTCTGGAAGGCTCGGCAATCAAGAATAAATACATTTCATGTCAGATTTAACACTGCAAGGAAATAAAACATAGAAAAATGGAAAATGTACTGTAAGTTTGTGCCAGGATGTTATCTTTTGAGTTCATGGACATTTTCTTGAACCCTGCACTGGTTCATTGTTGGGGTTGCCAGATCCCAGGAGAACATTTTTTTTTTTTTTGGTACTTTTAATTATTTTACTCAGCCTTTGGTTTTATTTCCCAGCACTCTGCATGATAAATTGTTTATTTAAATGTAAGCTATACAAGTCAAGTCAAATTTAAGCTATTTATATTGCACTTTTCACATCGTTTCAACGCAGAAAATCACTTTGTTTATCATCTATTTTTACCTTTATGCTTTAAGCCTATGATACACGGGACAACTTTTTGAGCAGTTTTGCTGGGCAATGTTGCCATCAAAGGGAAACCAGGTGAGACACACGACCGATCTAAAGTATCCAGATAGAAATTAGTTACCCGTTGTCAATGGGAAAGTGCCCACGCAACATTGCTCAAAAAAGTTGCCCCGTGTTGTATCATCCCCTTTATAGTCGTAAGTCTATACGTTTTTGCTTGAAAATATGTATCGTCTGTGCACTTCCCCAATTCTTTTAACATAATGTAGATTGTACACATCTTCATTACAATAAATGAAAAACTGATATTTTCTGATCTCAGTCAAGACCATTATAAAAAGTCAACATAATCTTCGGTCCTTAGGTTGCCAGGTATTCCAAGAATCAACACACATTAGTAAAATGATGTATTTTCATTTTCTTTGTCTACATATAAACTTTTTGGTGGCTATGGTACAAAAATAGCCAGAAAAAAATCCAACCCGTGGCTCTGTTATTTTTCCCGAAACTGAATTTTCAAAATAGCCCAATTGTGCAGGAAAATCACCAATCTGGCAACACCGATGGAACCTTTTCATTGCACAAAAGGCTCTTTATAATGGAAAAAGGTTTAATAGATTATTAAAATGCTTTTCACACTTAGAAAAGAATTGTTATTTTAAAGGGTTAGTTCACCCAAAAATGAAAATTAGCCCATTTGGACTGATGCATGCAACACCCGCTGAGTGCCATTAAACAGCTTGAAAGATCAAAGACAATTTTTTACATAACTCCGACTGGATTCGTCTGAAAGAAGAAAGTCATATGCACCTAGGATGCCTTGAGGGTAAGTAATTTATGGGCCAATTTTCATTTTTGGGTGAACTAACCCTTTAAGAACTGTACACTGAAATCTTCCAACCAAAGTTCTAAAAATGCAGTCAGAGATGCCTCACTCTTAAAAATAAAGGTTCTTTATTGGCATCAATGGTTCCATGAAGAACCTTTAACATCCTTGGATTCAATAAAGGTCCTTTATAGTGGAAAAGGTTAACATACTACATTGGGCCCTATTTTTACATGCGTTTCACACTGGCCCTAAAGTTCACACTGGCCCTTCGCAGGAGGAAGCAAAGGCATCGTTGGAGACCGTTGCTGTTGGCGCTCAGGAATCTGACACAGCACTTGGAGTGAGGTCTCATCCTGAGTGAGGGGTCGAACACGTCTCGCTTTTTCACACCTTCTTATCACCGCTGTGGAAGAGAACGTGGCTGTGGCTCGCACGGCATGTGGCCATCATGGGCTCGAATATTCACACTCGTTTTGGATACAATCGGTGCTATTTGACTGTAGTGGCATCTATGGCTGCATGACAAAACGTTAACATCCATTGGACAAAAGGATCTTTATACACTCTTAACAGTCAAGCTTCCAAAAGGTGTCTTTTTGCAACAATGCCATAGAAGAATTATTTTTGGTTTCCCACATTTCATATTTTAAAATGTATTTCAGGAGCAGGAAAATACATTTCCAATCTTACAGTATAGCCTATATTTAGGCTAAATCCAAATGTGGATGGAAAATGCCATTATGTCACATGTTATGGACAACAAGCACTGTAAAAAATGATATGATCAATAAGTCATATATGTTTACATTACGTTTAGCTCAACGAATTTAACCAGTATCAACTTCATTTTTCAAGTTATACAAGATTCAACTCAATTTTTAAAGTCAGTTTAATATAATTTAAGATGAAATGTCTTCAAAAATTAAGGCAGCAACTTAACTGAAGTGTAAAAGTTGAAGTAGGTGGAATTTGTTTTTACAGTGAATAAAGCTTTTCTTCAAATGTGACACGTGAATGTATTTTCTTGGATTGAAATATATGGATGGCAAAATATATTTTAAATGGTTTTAAAAATATATTTATATTTAAAAAATATATTTTCAAAAATATACCAAAAAAATCTATTTACTAACAAAAACTTATTTTGAATTTTACAATTTTATTTGCATTTTTTGTATATTTTAAATAAAATAAATTGTTTTGCCACATGGTCCAAAGAAGCTTTCAGTGAGCATCATCATTTTTTAGTGTAAAGAACATTCTAATAATCTAAAGAATCTTTTTCCACTATAACGAAGGTTTACTAATTCTATGGATGCCAATGAAGAAACTTTATTTTTAACAATGTAGCAGAAAATGTTCTTTAGAATTTTAAATGTTCTTCAACTAAGAAAAAAAATGGTTCTTTTAAGAAGTGGCCACTGAAAGCTTCTCTGAGGAACTAAAAATGGCTCTTCTACGGCAAAAACACCCTATTGGCACCTTTATTAAATTAAAAACAAAAACAAATGCAAAGCTCAAATCAAGCAGGTTTAATTTGAGTTTCTCTCATTTTAAGTGACATATGTGACCCTGGAGCACAAAACCAGTCATAAGGATACATTTTTCGAAATTGAGACGTATGCACTATCTGAAAGCTGAATAAATAATCTCTCCATTGATGTATGGTTTGTTATGATAGGACAATATTTGGCTGAGATACAACTATTTGAAAATCTGGAATCTGAGGGTGCAAAAAAATCTAAATATTGAGAAAATCATCTTTAAAGTTGTCCAAATGAAGTTCTTAGCAATGCATATTACTAATCAAAAATTAAGTTTTGATATATTTACGGTAGGAAATTTACAAAATATCTTCATGGAACATGATCTTTACTTAATATCCTAATGATTTTTGGCATAAAAAAAAATGTATAATTTTGACCCATACAATGTATTATTGGCTATTGCTACAAATATACCCCAGCGACTTAAGACTGCTTTTGTGCTGCAGGCTCACATATGATTAAACACCCCAAAGCAGTGTGTCGTACATTACAATAGAAAACAGACTCATTTACAACTAATAAATATTCATGAGGCCTAAATAAAAGCTGTCAGGGACGCCAAGATTCTGAATGTTCAGTTCATGAAGCAGCACGTGTGAAACTACTACGATTTCATCCTATTTTGGTTGATGAGCTGCAGAGGATTCCCATCCGCACATGTTTTCAGTCTTTTCTTCCGGTGTTTTGGACTATCTGCATCCGCATTCCTTGACCACCATGCCCTCGTATTTATTATTCAACACCACGACGCCGTGCTCGTTCTCGTACAGCAGGGAGATGGGCTTGAGCTCGGTGGGAACGCAGCAGGCCTGCGCCGCTCTCTGAGGACTCTTCAGATTGAGCAGCGTCTGGACTATAGCGTGTTTGGTGGGCGTCACTTCCCGAGCCAGAGGATAATTGCATGCACCGCGGCAGGTGAACGCCTGATAACCGGACGGAGCCAAGACGAACGAGTCCCAGCCGATGTCTTTAAAATCCACGTACATCTCGGCTTTCCTGCAGTCTTCTGTTTTAGCGCTGCGCCGGACTCTCGGTCCGTCGTCGTAGATCAGGTTCGAGCGCGTTTGGGTTAACAGCGCTTCGTCTTGATCCACGCTCTCATCCGTCCAGCGTTGGTTCTCCATCCTCTTGAGTTCGCTCCAGGCACTCCGGGCGCCCTGATGGATGTCACTCGTGTCGTCTGAGAAGACGATCAGCGCAGGCTCGTGTTTTCCATCCAGATTCCTGTCAATGTCTAGCACTGGCCAGTCGTTCGCATTCCTAAACGCTTGCAGGTTTTCGATATGAACCTCCAGGCTGGGGGTCACAGTACTGATCTTCCTCCAATGCTGGATGGCGTTGGTCATATCGAAAGCCTCCCAGCCGCTGTCCTTGCGATGCACGTGCTTTGAAGCCAGCGGATCTCTCTCACCCTCGGCGTTCCCGCAGCGTCCGTCCCGGTGCGTGTCGTATACGCTCACCTTCCAGCCCGCTCCGGTGCGATGCCGCGAGTCTGTCTTGAGAAGCATGTGGAGCCGCAGCTCGGCGCTGACGACGCGCTCGTGCCGCGGGACAGAGATGTTGAACAGGAGACGGTGCGTCCGAAGGCTCTCGCTCAGCTCGCCGTGTGAGGTGTGGTCTGCAGATCAGAGACAGAGGAATACAGAGTTCTGGCATGAAACTCTAGATGGCGCAGTCCGATAGGTCTAACTCAGTCTGACCTAATGACATCATCATCACATGGCACAGCTGATTGGTTCTCTCCTGTATCGGTAGCCAATGAGCTCGCTGCTCAACATTCAAATATATGATTCGTGCTTGCAGTAGCAGTTGCAGCTTGCTTCAGAAACCCTCCACCTTCCCCAGCTCCACCTGTATAGATCTGCTACGAGGTGATTCATGTACGCTATATGGGGGTTATTTCATGTATGTTATATGTGCAGCAGCAGTATTTCTTATATGCTCACAGCAGCATCATAGCAGATCTATTCCGCCAAAACCAAATACATTAACATTGTCATGTACATTACCATGCCAATCCCTCCGAGAGTTGTCATGACAGAAATAACTTTAAATGAATCTCAGTAAAACTGTTGATGTGATGCCACAGAGGATTTACGTCAATCTGTTATGTGTGTGTAAGTGTAAGAGAAGAATTTGAATTTAAACATGTAAAACATTTGAATTTTTAATTTAAAGAACAGTTACATAATTTGAATAATAAGAATCAGAATAATAAATAAATATCATCATATTTATTAAAATAACGATTTTAAATAATTATTGTTTAAAATAATTAAAAATGGCTATATAGTTATAATAGTATTAATAACAAATAACATATTTATTAAAATAATAATATTTTAAAATAATTATTTAAAAAGTTCAATTTAAAGAATAGTTAAATAATAATAATAAATACCATATTTATTAAAGTAATAATACTAATAATAATAATAATTATTATATAAAATGTGTATGAATGAATAGTTAAATAAATCTAATAATAATAATAAATAGAAATAATATCATATTTATTAAAAGAATAATATTTTAAATAATTACAATTTTTTTTATGAAGTATGAAGTAATAATAATCATTTAAAATTCTTATTATTATTGAAAAACTTTTAAAGAACGTTAAATATCATATTTAATAAAGTAATAATAATAATATCTAGTAAAATAATAATAATACAAATTAATTATTATTTATTTTTTTATTTAAAGAACGGTTAAATAATTCTAGTAATAATAATAATAAAAACATTAAATAATATCCCATTTATTAAAATAATAATAATAATTCAAAATAAAAATTAACATTTAAAATAATTATTTGTAATAATCATTTTTAAAAATAGGTTAATCTAATCATTACTGGAAAAACTGCAAAGTACAAAACCATAAAAAAGGACGGAACTCTGATATCTAATGGTCAAATTCAAGACACAATATATACACACAACAATATTCAACAATAAAGGATTAATACATCACAGTCAGTGAACTTTGCAACATTGAAGCTAATTGAATTGAAATCTTCTGTAGAGCTGCTTTACAACTGAAATTGAGTGTTACATAATCGATTAATGAAGTTATTTTCCTGTTTATTAATGCTTTGAAACAATCGGTGTTGTATAAAGAGCTATAGAAATAAAAGTGAGATTATAATATATTCACCATTGTAATATTCACCAAAAACAAAACGAAACAACTGAAGCTCCTCACCTTCATTCCTGAAGCTCCTGACGATGTTGGCTGATGGCGCGGTGCTGCGGTCGCTGGTGAATCGCTCGTACAGTTCCAGCATGTACTCGGGCGGTTCTGTGCGTCCGGAGCGGGGCCTCAGCCGGGGCCCCTGATCCGTCCAGTTCAACACCTGCAGAAACTGACCCAGAACCTCCTGCATGTCCACTTCGTCCACAGCACCTCCAGGACGAGGAACTGGACCGCAGCGAGCCGAAGACTGCAGGAGGACGCAAAAGCTCAGGATCCAAACACACCCGGCTCCAGAAAGCCCAGAAACAGGCATGACTGCGCTCAGAGACGTGATGATGTGAAATATAAGGATGATGTGAGGGTCTGGGACACCTGCGCAGGTCCGTCCGTCTCTCTTCGGCCTGACAGCTCGATGTGGTGCCAGAGGAAAAACAGCCTCGTCCTTGTGGATCTCGTGATGGAGTGTGGAGGGCAGGACTACGTTGTCGACCCGCTTGTGCTGACAAGTTTGGAGATGTTGCCACTCGGTCTGTGGGCCCTTCATAGTGTGTCTGGGTTCCTCACACTTCCTGTATCTTCTTTCCATGCATGCCTTTCTCAGACGTCCAGCTCAAACCTATGCGCTCGGTACATTCACATTTACACTGAGCAGACGCTCCAGAGCTTCTGAACGACCAAAGGATGGCAAACACGTCATTACAAGCAAGAAAAAGTGACTCCTGTGCAAATACTAATAGAAAAAAGAGACAATTAAATGTTGTTCAGGTTGAAGCTGGGTTATTATTTCACTAATAAATAAATAAATTAATTAATTAAACTTTAAAATAAAATACACAAAACCTTACATTTATGTTATTTCAGCTAATTGCCTGGCCAACATTTCTCATTTCAATTTAGTTGATCTTGTAAAATAACAAACTAAAACTGAAATAAAAAATATTATAAACTCTATAGTAGAGCCTGACCAATATGGGTTTTTTGGGGCCGATACCGATACCGATATTAGGGCGTAAAAAAAGGCCGATATCGATATATCGGCCGATATTCTTTGTGTATATTATAGTACAGTACCAGTCAAAAGTTTGGACACTTTCCCATTCGTGTGTCCAAACATTTGACTGGTACTATATATAGAATTCAGTATATACAGAATATATATACATAAACACATTTTTTGCAATGATCACTCAAATGTGGTGATCAAACACTTATAATGACGTGACAAAGATACTTAATGGAGGCAGGGTATTTAACAATTTAACAATAAACTTTATTCAAAATGAGTCTGACATTAGTGCACTGAACAGTTTATTCAACTTTAATTCAATTCAATTCCATTCAACTTTATTCCATTGAAGTTTATTTCACTTTGGAACATTCATTATGAAATAAATAAAACATATATTTTTTTTAAAAATCATATCGGCGGCATATTCGCTGATACCGATATATCGGCGACAGGCTCATATCGGCCGATAATATCGGCTAAACGATATATCGGTCGGGCTCTACTCTATAGACATATTTCTATAGAGTAAAAAAATTACTGAAATGTTAACTTAAAAAATAAAAACATATATAAAAATAAAAAAAAAATTCCAAAATAGAAAATTCTAAATATTAATAAACTATAATAGTATCTCAATGATACTAAAATAACACTGGAGTAGTCTGAAATAAAATACTACCATTTACCACGGTATCTGACTCAGAGTATAAGTTACCTCTCTTTCTGAAAAGGGCCTCTGTAAAAAAGCATAGTTTGCATCTATTTCATTTTATTTAAGTAATCATATTTTCAAAAGGCTTTTTTGTTGCTTAGAATGAGCATAAATCTTGTGAAAGTTATTCCGTTTAAAAGTGTGAACATGGTTAAATATGACTCGCTATGGAACAAGCTATATTCGATAGAATGAGATTGAAACAAATTGGATTTATTGAAGATAAATATTATATAAACCTGGTTACTGTGCATTTAAAACACACATTTAGTGTATTCGTATTATGACAGAAATCTGACCTGGTTCATTTATGCATGACTGACAAAAATGCATATAAATACTATTTCAAATATTACTTTGTTAAAACTGTGCAATCCAAATGAATGGAAATTTCATGCGCAATTCAAACACGTATATATCCTGAATATTATCTTGAGTGCAGCAGTTTGAGCAGGATTTTCCTGTATTTCTGAACACCTCTAGGTGTCAAGAGTAAAGCCATACAGTTGAAATGCAATGCAGATCTACTGTAAGATTTATCAGTTTGATGAAATGTGTATTCAAGCATGACTCTGAAAGAGAGTTTTCATGAGGGCTAATTAAGATTGCTGTGATTGAGAAATCATAACCAGCTCGCACGTCATTACAGTTTTTCTGATGCTTGATTAAGCTTCTGGCTGATAGCGGCATTTATTGTGTTTCTTTTGCTTCTTTCTATATGCGTACAGCACCAGTGACACAGCCTCATTCATCCTCAACAAAACCTAATGCTATAGGAATATTTACTCTCATTGATGTCGCTCCAATGTCGCGCTTTTATTCTTTTTTGGAAAGGAGACATTTTGAAGAAACTTGTCAATGCACACAAGGCACTAAATTTTAGTTGAACTTACACTCAAAAAATTTAATCCTACATTTATATTGATTATATTTATATTCATTTATAATTTAGAAATTTGAACTGCATAGAAAATGTCCATGCATTTGGATTTCACAGTTTTAACAAACTAATAAAAATGCGATGCATGTGTGAAGTCAGTAATATTTCTGCACTTACAAAAAATTAATTGCATCCTTTATTAAAGGGATAGTTCACCCAAAAAGGAAAATGACCCCATGATTTCCTCACCCTCAAGCCATCCTAGGTGCACATGAATTTCTTCTTTCAGAATACAATTGGAGTTAAATTTAAAAAATATCCTGGTTCTTCCAAGCTTTATAATGGCAGTGAATGGGTGTTAAGTATTTGAAGCAAAATAAAGTGCATGAATCCATCATGAAAAGTGCTCCACGCGGCTCCGTGGGTTAATAAAGGCCTTCTGAAGCGAATCGATGTGTTTTTGTAAGAAACATATCCATTTTTATAACTTTATAAACCATAATCTGTAGCTTCCGCTGACTGACGTACGCGAGTACACGAGTATTTGTAGAAGGTCAGGGGAGAATGCTTATAGAAAAGAAGGGGAAAAAAAGAAAAAAAAAAGAAAAAAATTATAAAAAAAGAGGAAAAAAAGGAGAGAGAGAGAGAGAGAGATAAATAAATATATAGGTATATAAATTGCAAAAGAACAACAAGTCAGAAATGGGTTCCAGATGTCACTAAATATAAATATATGTTATTTTTTCTGTGATGTGATATTTTCTGTAAGAAGGTTAGTCCAGTGATTGATATATGTATACATTTTGTCAATTTCCAGTTTAACAGAACTATTTTTTTGGCGATATTTAGAGAGATGAGGCGTGGATTTTTGTATTTAATCAGAAGATTATCGATGGTGTTACCTAGTAAACAAAGTGATGGAGACGGAGGAATCCTACAGCCCATAATGATGGAAAGTTTAATTAATAAACAGGTTGGCAGATCCATGCGGCATGCAAATAGTCACCGGTGCTACCCAATGTGCATTGTGAGCAAATATCTGTCGGTGAGACCCATTTTAAAGCTTTTCTTTTGAGTGATGTGAGTCCTGCACTCTCAGAAAAAAAGGTACAACAGCTGTCACTGGGGCGGTACCTTTTCAAAAGTTACACTTTTGTACCTTTTAGGTACTAATATGTACACTTTAGGTGCTAATATGTACCTTTAAGGTACCATTATGGACTCTTTTGGTACATAGGTGTGCCTTTTGAAAAGGTACCGCCCCAGTGACAACTATTGTACCTTTTTTTCTGAGAGTGTGTGAATGATCTCGCACTGAATGAGTTTGTATTGCTAGTCATAGAAAAGATATTCGTTCAGATTTTCCTTCCAGACGTCGGTGTTGGAGGAGAAAGCCAAGTCATTTTCCCATGTAGCCACTGGTAAAATTATTGTTATGTTGGTATTTGATAGAAGTTCATCATATCTTCCATCAACTGAGAGGGATGTAGTGGGTTATTAGGCTACATTATGGATTATGGATTTTATTTGTTGATACTGTTCTCCGCTGAGACTGTACTTCTGGACCAGTGTGTTAAATGATATAAACGGGTTATTTTGAAATAAATAATTGGAGGTGTGCTATTCCTTTTCGTTGCCATGATTGAAAATGGATAGGTTTATTGTACAGTTGAAAGTCAGGCTTGAGCCAGTCTCAACCCTCAACCCCAAAAGCAGTCTCCTCTTGGCTTATATCGCAATCCTCCGACATTTTTCTTTACAAATCCTCGTTTTGTACTAATTTGAGACTGGTGTTTTGTTTTGCTCTCTCCTCTGCGCTTCCGTGTTCGCTTGTTAAACTACAGATTACGGTTTATAAAGTTGTAAATATGGATATTTTTCGTACAAGAACTCATTGATTTAGTTCAGAAGGCCTTTATTAAGCCGCGGAGCTGCGTGGAGCACTTTTTATGATGGATTTATGCACTTTACTTTGCTTCAAAATCTCAACACCCATTCACTGCCATTATAAAGCTTGGAAGAGCCAGGACGTTTTTTAATATAACTCCGATTGGATTCGTCTGACTGAAGAAAGTCATATACAGCTAGGATGGCTTGAGGCCGAGTAAATCATGGGCTAATTTTCTTTTTTGGGTGAACTAACCCTTTAACTAGTTGCATCTGTTTGATTTTAACTGACAGTCGGTTTTATAAAGGTCATTTTAACTTTGAGCGATTTCAACTTTTTTTTATAAGTTATAAGATTCAACTCTATTTTTAAAATCAGCTAAATATAATTTAAGTTGAACTTGACTTGTACGGCCAAGTTGATTATCCTTAATTTAAGGCAGCAACTGAACTGAACTATGTTTGTTTTTTGTTTTACTGCGTGTGTAATTGAAATTAATGGAATTTTTATATGCAATTCAAGTACCTAAATCACAAAATTAATTAATTGATATATGTATGTACTCATTTATTGTGCAAGGGGAGGATTATGAGGGAATATTATCTTAAATTTCAGTTCACATATGATTTCAGAAGACTTGCAGCATATACTATAGTGTATAAGTGTATATCTCCTGTGCAGACAGGTTTGGTTGTCATGATTGCGAGTAAATGATTGTCAAATTGGGTTGAATAATTCCTGAAGTATAATTGCTGATGATTGTGTTTTTCTGACTTTGATCACATAAAAAAAAAAAAAAACATTTTCATGTTTTGTATCATATTTGATGCATCAGGCTTTTATGGCTCATATAATCTGATACAGTGAGAAAATGAAGCTCAATTTTATTCAGAGACTCAAACTGAGCAAAAATATGAATTTGCTGCAGATGCTGATATTTATATGATGAAATTCTGCTGCTTGTGATGTAAATCAGTGAGATCTTTATAACAGTGCAGCAGATACTGACATAAAATGATCTAAATATCAGCGGTCGCTCTATATCTCCAGTAACATGTCTCAGTGAGATGAGACTGAAATGCTCCAAACATATAATG